GACAAGGTCCGGTTAGCCCTGCCAACCGTGACCTCGCATTGTCGGCCCATGTTCATCTTGGAGTCAGTAATGACTCCAAGATCCCTTTCTGCCTCCGTGCTCTCAAGAAGGGAGTTTCCCATTCTATAAGTGTGCTGCTGGTTTCTACTGCCTAAGTGCAGCACCCTGCACTTGTTAGTATTGAAACACATCCTGTTTATGTTAGCCCACTCCTGTAACCTATCCAGATCTTGCTGCAATCTTTCCCTCCCTACTAGGAGTGTGGGGCAGAGGCAAGGCATAGGCATATCACTGCTCCTCCCCCCACCCCACACTCATATATCCCTTCCCCCTCTCCTCTTCCTTCCCCACCCCCCACAGGTGTCCTCTTATTTCATACTGGAAATATAGTGATGCTAGGCTGAAAGGGAAGGAGCCCTGCAGTAAGATGCTTGCTGATGAGAGCCTGATAGATTCTGCTATCCCAGAAAGAAGTCAGTACAGAGCTGAGGGCTGGTAGGGAATGAGACTCAGCCTGGATAGGGATTTCATGTAGCTAGATGCTAGAGGATTAAGCTATAATCAGTGTGCTGATGTTTTGGTTGGCATTTTTCCCAATGGCTTGGATTTGGAGCTATTAGCAGAGGTCCCAATAGTGTCAGAGTGGTATGTGATTGCCTTGAGCCCAGTCAGAGGTCAGGCTCAAGGCAGAGCTTGGGGCCAGAGGGTCCGGAGTCCAGAGCCAGGTGGAGATGTGGCCAGGGAGGCTCAGCTCCTCTAGCAGGGTGGAGACAGGGCCAAGAGCTCAAACAGAGAGAGAGCTGAGGGAGGCTCAATACCTGGAGCAGGACAGAGCACCTCATGTCATGTACCTCAAACATGAACAGCTAAACTCTGGTGTACCTATCACATGGACAGTAATAGTTTGGTGCACCTACAATGTAGACAGCCATACCTCATTGCCCCTACAGCTGTGCCTTATTGCAGGCACAACATAAATAGGTGTATCCAAGTGAACACCAAAACCAGGCTGCAAATGAAAGGATGTTAGAAAACTTGGTTATGGATGTCATCTATGATTGTAACATGTAGGAACAGGCTGACAAGCACTAGCAGGAGAACAGGCAAAGAAAAAGATCTAATGAATAGTCGCTTGGCCTACTGGCACACCAACCCAGTTTCTGTTATAATCCCAATGCCCTCCCCAACACAGAACCCCATTTTGCCAACACAGGATAATTTTGGCTTTGCAGTGAGTCCATCAATAAGCAACCCTGTACATAGGTAGATGTACTCAGTGATCTGCCTCATATGCCTTGGGGGAAGGAAAATAGGTCCTAGATACAGTGCTGTTCTGTCATGGAGGGATGGGGCATTGTGTGGCTCTAGTTTTGTTTTCTGTAGCACAGATATTGTTTGCAGGCTCCTTTGGGCTTCCTTTGTTCATCCTTTTCTCTGTGACAAAGCTGGTCTTTGATGTGTATTTAGCTCGTTAGTCTCTTGCTGAGAAAGTGCTTGGGGAAAATGTGGGGAGACATGAACTTTACAGCCAAGAGTTTGAGTTCATGATGAATGGATGGTCTTTGCAGATCATTATTTGCCAGGTACATGGCCATAGTACTGCTGTGCTCACATTATCTTCTTCCCCTGCTCCCCTTCTAGGGGTTGTCAGCATCTAAGGCTTCTCTGGCTCCCCTCACCCACCCTGGTCCTAGCCTCAGCAATCAGAGCTGCATTTTCTGGTTGGCTCAAAACTCGCAACTGGCCCTGTAATCCATCATGGCATCAACCCACTTCAAGTCCAAACACTTGACCCATCTCCTTTACAGCTGCAGTTCATACCTGGTCCCAGCAACATGAATGGCACTAAACACCACAGAATCCAGTAGGGGTACTGGCAACACCAGCCTGCCCTATATTTGCCACTGCCTTGCAACTACTCAAAGAATATCTGAACCCAATTCAGCTAGGAGCTCTGAATTAAAGTGGGCCTTGGTGAGCCATAGCAAGAAAGAAAGACTTAGATTCCTGAAAATAAGAGGGAGATGCAAGGATTTCTTCTTAGGAAGATCTCTCTTATTGAACTAGCTGTGTAGTTGGAATGATGTTAAACAAGCTTTTAAATGCATGGTTTTATTCCTCAGATCTCTGATCACAAGAGCCCAAGCAAAACGTAGTGAAATACAGCAGAGGGGAGGGGGTAAGAGAAATTCTCAAGGGTAGCAGACATACAACCAACAGAAGAATAGAAGCCGATTACTGGAAGGTCAAAGCCTATCAGAAGGGAGGAGGGTTATTCTCACCTTTCCTGTGTAGAAAGAATTCAGAAGCTGGAAAAAAAATAATGCGTCATAAAACTGATATCAACATTCAGTCCTTGATTCTTAGTGTCCAGCCAGCTTATGAATTTCTTTTCCCAAGTTTGCCTTCGAGGTCCTCCTCTGCTTCTCCTGGAGCCGGACCCATTACTGCACACTGGCGCTGCCTGCGCCCGGTGTGGAGAGCTCTGTCAGCCTCAGCTGCCTCCACTGCTCTCCCGTCCTCCGCTTCGGTGCTGGCTTTTTTTTCCGGCTGGGCGGCATTCGTCAATGACATAATCCACCTGTGCCGGCTCCAGCCAGAAATAAGCATAGCTGACAAATTGCGCAGGCATTTCTTTCCAGCATGGCTCATCCTGCGCCCAGTGGCCTGAGATTGGTAAGTAACCCCTGATTTCAGGGTTTTTCCCATGTAGAGGTGGGTTACCCCCATCTCCAGTTCCACCATGGGGAGGGTTTCCTGCTCCCCGGTTGCTGTTCCCCTGGGACAGGCCCAATCCTCCAATTGGTCTAGGCCACCCTGAATCCTAGCCCTACCCTCTAGTGTATCAATTACTCCCCACAGGTTGGTGTCATCTGCAGACTTGCTACAGGTGCACTCTATGCCATCTTCCAGGTAATTAATGAAGACATTGAACAAAACTGGCCCCAGGACTGACCTCTGGAGCACTCCACTTCATACCAGCTGCCAACTAGACATTAAGCCATCAATTACTACTGTCTTCGCCTGATGCTCCAGTAAGTTCTCTCTCCACCTTACAGTCCATTCATCCAGCCCATACTTCTTTAACTTGCCTGCAACAATGTTGTGGGGGACCGTATCAAAAACCTTGCTAAAGTCAAGGTACACCACATCTACCAGTCTCCCCGCATCTACAAAGCCAGTCACCTTGTCATAGAAGGCAATCAGGTTGGTCAGGCATGATTTGCCTCTGTTGAATCCATGTCGACTGTTCCTAATCAACTTTTTCTCCTCCAAGTGCTTGTAAGTGGCTTCCTTGAGGATTTTCTCCATGATTTTTTCCAGGGACTGAGGTGAGGCTGGCTGGTCAGTAGTTCTCTGGATCCTTCCCCCCCCCCCCTTTCTTAAATATGGGCATTGTTTTTGCCCTTTTCCAGTCTCCAGGACCTCTCCTGATTGCCATGAGTTTTCAAAGGTGATTGCCAGTGGCTCTGTAGTCACATCAGCTAACTCCCTCAGCACCCTTCAGTGCATCCCATCCAGCCCCATGGACTTGCACGTGTCCAGCTTTTCTAAGTAGTCCCCAACCTGTTCTTTCACCACTGAAGGCTACTCCTGTCCTCCCCAAACAGTGCTGCCCGGTGCAGTAGTCTGGGAGCTGACCTTGCCTGTGAAAAAAAGGCTGAAGTACTCAATGCCTTTTTTGCCTGTGAAGACAGGCAAAAGGCATTGAGCACTTCCTTTGTCACAAGGTTGCCTTCCCTATTCAGTAACGGACCCATATTTTCCCTGATCCTCTTTTTGCTACCGACATACTTATAGAAACCCTCCAGTTTGCCCTTATTGAATTTCATGAGATTTCATTTGGTCTAATCCTCCAATTTGTCTAGGTCCCTCTGTATTCTAGCCCTACCCTCCAGTATATCTACTGTTTTCCTCAGGTTGGTGTCACCTGCAAACTTGCTGAGGGTCCACTCGATCCCATCTTCCAGATCATGGATAAAGATATTGAACAAAACTAGCCCCAAGACCAACCCCTGGGACATTCCACTTGACACTGGCTGCCAATCAGACATTGAACCGTTGACTATTATCCTCTGAGCCCAACAATCCAGCAGTTTTCTATCCACCTTACAGTCCATTTGTCCAACCCATACTTCCTTAGCTTGCTTGGGAGAATGTTGTTGGGGACTGTATCAAAAGCCTTGCTAAACTCAAGGTATAAAATCACATTGTGAAGGTGGAAAGGGAGATAAGGGAGAAAAGGAGATTCTGAGTGATAACCCACCCCTGCCATTCACTTCATCTGAAGTGAAGAACACCGCCAGAACACTGGGTCTGGGACAGCATTTCCAGAGCAACTACTTTCTCTGTGGCAGACCTGGAAAGGGTCCAGAGAGGGGCCACTGGGGGGAGTCCATAGTATCAAGAGGGAGAAGACACCAGAGAGACTCTCCACTGGGAATCCACAGGCAGCCTGGGACATTGCAGTTGACCCAGCTGTGCTGATTGGCAGTCAGAGGAATGCAGAACAAACAAAAGGCAGCTAGCACTGGATGTCACAGTGGCTGGCAGGGACTCTGGTGCAGATGCCTAGGGGAGAGCAAGATCCAAGTCAGATGTGGCCAGGGCAGGTAGGAAGTACAAGGAGGATCCTGCACTGGGAAGCTGGCCTCAGAAGAGTCTTCCTCCCATGAAGACAAAAGGGGATTAGTAGTGGAGGAATTTGCCTTGGGGCAGTAGGAGCTCTTGAGGGCAGTATATCTGAACCAAAGAGGCGGCAACTCAGCTGAAGTTCTAAGGATGTTGCCATAATTGGAGTAGGGCAATAGAAAGTGCTAATTTGTGGGGCAACTGGAACTGCTGGTGCATAAGGCTGGCCTGAAAGAGACTTGATCAGGCAGCAGAAGCTCAAGGGAAGCCTGGAGAGGCATGTAACAGTGGCAGCCTACATATTCAGTTGTACTTTGAGATCTTATTTTCAAAGTGATTTTTCTTTGGATGGACTTCTCAATGTTGTTCTGCCCTTGATGGGCCACCTGGGACTGAAAGGGATCCAAGTAGGAGGGCTAGTTTCAATTTAGTATATTTACCAAAAGACTGTCAGACTGTGGCCAGAGACCTTGGTAATGTCTGGGAACCACAAGTAAGATAGACTCTGAACCAAGGGGTAGGAGCAAGGAAAATAGGTGGGGGTGGGAGAACTGGCCTGGCACTGTCTTTGTCTATGGATGTTCTAACACCATGTAACAGGGGACCCTAGCCCTGTCACCAGAAGGCACGTCTGCCCCCTTAAGGCCAGAACTTTCTGGGCACAGAGTGCTGGTAAAGAAGGGGTTAAATGCTGAGCCTGGCCAGCTAGTCAGCTGACCGGAAGGAGCAGGACTATAAAAACCCTGGACAGAGCAGCAGTGAAGGGGAAGGAGTGCCTCAGAGAGCTCCATGGAGAAGCTGGGTGAATGGTCCAAAGGTGGGAAGAGGGGAACCATGGAAGCCCTGGAGAGATGGCAGCCACATCACAGCAAGGATGTTAGCAGACAGTGGGGAGCCAAAGTACAGAGCCTGCGAATGTAAGCCGACATGCTGCTTTCCTTTATCACTTTAGCTGGTTGCAGTTATTACTTGCGGACGGGATTGTTTATTTTTTTTTCCTTTTTGATTAATGAATAAGACCAGTGCTTTCGGTGAGGCTATTAGGGGAAGAAAGAGGCTTCATTTTGGGGGCTCACTACAGAGTGGGAACCCTGGTGGCAGTGAGGCTTTTGGGGGTACATAGAACCTGGTGCCAGTGGGGCTTAGGATTTTGGGGTTCCCTGACCCCAGCACCTGAAGGTGTGATCTTAAGAAGGCCAGGGAGGTCTGGTGCACCTGGGGTGCAATTTTGTTTTGATTTTTTTGGATTGAGGGGGTGTGAGTTTGGGGCCCCCTGGCTGTGAGGCTGGTGCCTGGGCCTCTGGGCCAGGGGAGCCAGGCTCCAGATTGGAGTAGGAAAGGGGGCCATGAGCCTCAAGACACCAGAAAAGGCTACAGCCTTGGAGTCAAACTTTTTGGTGGGTTTAGATGGGGAGGCCTAGCTAGAGAAAAAACAGGGGTCAGACCCACATAGGTGAAAGGCCCCAACATACACAATACAATAGGCAGTCTTCTGCTCACAAGAACATCATCATAATAAATTTCCATCAAGGCATGGCAGGCAAGTATAGGGCAGGACATAAGAACTTCAAAGATGACCCCAAGTACGCTCCACGTAAGGTGTAGATTACCAGGGAAGATGGCGCTGGGGAGGGCAACCTGTTACACACCAGTTAACTCACCGGATGTGGTAAGGGTGGGGTTCAGGCATGGTGAAGCCCCAGAAAGAAGCCAGGGCTATGGATCTAAAGGGTAAACTGGAGGGGAACTGGATCCTAATTCAAGTAAGATCAAGTCATGGCAGGAAAGAGAAAAAAAGTTACCAAAGGTACCTGAGTGATGTTTTCTAGGTCCCACCCTGGCATCACCAGGAAACAGGGCATCATCCAAGAGGCACCCAAGGCCATACAACACCTATCAATGGCACACATCCACTTCTCTACCTGCATCCATGGAGCCAATCATCTTGTCATAGAAGGCAGTCAGTTTGGTCAATCATGACTTGTCCTTGGTTAATCTATGTTGACTGTTCCTGATTATCTTTTCCTCCTACAAGTGCTTAGAAATGGATTCCTTGAAAACCTGTTTCATAAATTTTTCCAAGGACTGAGGTGAGGCTGACCAGTTGTTTGTTCCCTGAATCCTCCTCCTTCCTTAAAAAAAAAAGATGGGCACTATATTTTCACTTTTACCATCATTTGGGACCCCTCCCAGTCACCGTAGGTTTTCAAAGACAATGGCCAGAGGCTCTGCAATCACATGGATGATCAGCCAATTCCTTTGGCACCGTCAGGTGGATTATGTCTGGCCCCATGGACTTATACACATCCAGCTTTTCTAAATAGTCCCTAGCCTGTCTTTAGCCACCATTGGCTAGTTACCTCCTCTCCAAACTGTGCTGCCAGGTGCAGTAGTCTGGGAGCTGACATTGCCTGTAAAGACTGAGGTGAAAAGGGCAATACCTCAGCTTTTTTGTCACTAAGTTGTCTCCTGCATTTAGTAAGGGATGTACACTTTCCCTCTTGTTGCTAACACACTTTTAGAAACCCTTGTTACCCATCATGTCCTTTGCTAGCTACAACTCCAATTGTGGGTTGGTCTTCCTGATACTCTTATACTCCTCCCTAATAGTTTGTCCAAGTTTCCAATGGTAAGTTTCTTTTTGTGTTTAAGCTCCCTGTTAAGCCATGCTGGTCTTCTGCCATACTTGCTGACCTTTCTGTGCATCAGGATGGTCATTTCTGCACCCTCAGTAAGGTTTCTTTAAAATACAACCAATTTTCTTTAAAATACTGGTCTCCATTTCCCCTCAGGTTGGTCTCCCAGGGGATCTTGCCCATTAGTTCCCCAAGTTAATCAAAGGAAGTCTACAGATGTTCAGGACCCTGCTCTAACTCATGGCACTTTACATAAAGCACCAAGAATTAAAGTCCCAGGTGAAGGGCTAGAGCCTGCTTACACCAGCAGCAAGAGCACTCTACTCTTCTCCTCAAGCCCAGTCCCCTCCAGCCCCTCTGGATTCTTACTCTGCAGCTCTCCTTCCTTCCTTTCCTCAGATCCTGAAATCAATTATCTTGTGTTCACTGCTGCCATCCGCTACTACCTCCCCCACCAATTTTCCTCTGTTTGTGAGCAGCAGGTCAAGAACAGCACAGCACCTAGTTGGCTTCTCCAACACTTACACCAGGCAGTTGTCCCCTGCACTCTCCAAAAACCTCCTGGATTGCCTGTGCACTGCTGTGTTGCCCTCCCAGCAGATGTCAAGGTAATCAAAGTCCACCATGAGAACCAGGGCCTGTGACTGGGAAACTTCCACTAGGTGTTTGAAGAAAGCCTCATCCTCATGGTGTGGTGGTCTATAGCAGACACTCACCATGACATCACCTTTGTTGCTTTCACCTCTGACCCTAACCCAGAGACTTTCAATAAGCCTGTCTCCGCTTTCATACTGGAGCTCTGAAGAATCATACAGCCTTTTTCCCCTGCCTATCCTTCCTGAATAGTTTATACCTATCATCCATGACAGTGCTCCAGTCACAAGAGCTACCCCATCAAGTTTGTTATTCTGGTGATATCATAGTTCCATGACTATGCAAGGACTTCCAGTTCTTCCTGCTTGTTTCGTATACTGTGCATTTATGTATAGACATGTGACCTAAGTAGGCCTCCCCTATTTTCCCCTCCCGATTGTGCTTCCTCCAGGTCACCCAATTCTCCACTTACCTCAGGGCTTTGGTCTCCATCCCCTAGTGAACCTAGTTTAAAGTTCTCCCTGCTAGTTTAGCAAGCCTGTCTGAAGATTCTGTTCTCTCTCTTCATCAGGTGGATCCCATCTCTTCCTAGTAATCCTTCTTCTTGGAAGAACATCCTGGGTTGAAGAAGCCAAAGTCCTGCTGGCTACCCTATCCATGCAGCCATGCATTGATCTGCAGGATGCATCTGCTCCTGCCTAGGAGCTTCCCCTTGACCAGAAGGATAAAAAGAGAACACCACCTGAGCCCTTGTCCCCTTCACCCTTGCACCCAGAGCCCCAGTGTCACTTTTGATCTACTCAGGGTCACCCCTGGTAGCATCACTGGTGCCCACATGGATGATCAACATGGGGTAGTAATCAGAAGTCTGGATAATCCTTCCATGACATCTCAGATCTGGGCTCCTGCTGTCTCCGGAGGTCTGCCCGGTCATGCCTCCATCCCCTGCAGAAGGTAGTCTCTGAACACCAACACCCATTGCTTTCTCTTGGTGGCACTGGTCTTGATCCTCCCAACCTTGGGGATACCTGGCTGGGCCTCTTCCACCAATGGAACATGCTCCTCCTCTGTTGCTAGGGCTCCATTTCTGTTCTTCAGTAAACCACTGCAGGTGGAGATGAAGACTTCTGCTGAGGGCCAGGTCATGAGCTTCCAGTTTCCACTGTCCTCCCTTCCTGGGAGTCCACATCCTCTTCCTTCTCTAGTGCCTTCTCTGGCAGTCCTTCCTTCACAATCTTAGAGGTTTCCTCCAGCATCAAATCAATTAAGTCCTTGTGGCAGAAAATGCTTCCAAGCCTTACCACATCCTCCTGTAGCTCTCTTGTCTGCTCCTTGAAGGACAGGCACCAGGAGGCACTGCTCACATCACA